TTTCCCGGGCTTCTGACAGTGTCACTTGTAGAGCCAATTCTCCTATGAGCTCAAGGCAGGCAGCTCCTAACATCAGTCTGCAGCTCTGTTGTCTTACTTCACTAGCCTTTAGAATACTTAACAACACCATTTCTGTACAAGAAATATAATTAAAATAACGGCAGAGCCATTGTCTTGTAGGTGGATTTCTTATATCCAAACCTCAGCTCATTTACACATTGCAAAATAACGAGGAGCATACTGGAAGAACAGCACAGACTGCTCAACTTTGGTCATTTTCTTATCTCAGAAATGGCTCTAATTCCCAGAAGTGACAGTCTACAACCAAGACACCTGATATCATCAGAAGCAAATTATTTTAAGTTTTAATAAGCAGTTACGTTAATGAACAAGAAAGCTATGATAAAAACAGGTTTTTGCTGTTATAATGTTATGCTTAGGGAAATCACTAAAAGCTACCCAAGAAGCATATTAATGTCGAAAATTTCAACAAAGCATCACTTGTATCCTAATTAAGTAGGGGGAAAAAAAAAAAAGCGCTCATCATAGCTGGATTGTACAAAGTATGCTTGATTTAATTAATTATCAGCCGTGTTCATTAGCGTACTCCGGGACCTTCTGTTAATAGAAACCTTGCTCTGGATGACCTCTTATTTTCCTTTCCTGCCATTTGTGTGACCCTCGTGGTTCCAGTGGCAGAGCAACCAAGGCACACGCAAGCGTAAAAAACTTGAGGAGCACGCTGGCACCTGTGTTCCTTCTGCCAAAAGCAACTGAATCTTCCCAGCCCGTGTGTTTCAGCCTTGTTTCTCTTGCATGTGCATAGTTCCCCGTGACAACTGGAGCTGCATATGCAGAAATATTTCAGAATGAAAAGTTCATCCGTGTGGATGAACTGCGCTTTGAGAAGGAAGAAAGACTTTCCACTGTCCAAGCCACCAATGCATCTGCCATAGTAGTTACTGGGGGGGGGGGCTAACTGTGAGCTTAAATATCCAAAAAAGTTATTGATTATGATAACTGTGGTGCAAGGCCAGATGGAGCTGTGACTGGAAAAGGCTGACAAGACAGGGGAAAAGGAAGAAATGGTAAAAGCTGAGGCATCCCTGCTCTACCTAGGTTAGGTTTCCAGTAAATCTACACTTGTTCCTCAGCTCAAATCCAGCATCGCTGAATTTTGAAGGAGGCCAGATTTATCAACAGTGCAGGATTTTCCCATTCTGATGTAAATGATGTTATTCATATCTCATAAGTAATCCAAAATTAATGAGGTTCCGTCATATTACACATATGACAGAGAAACTTGGAATGCATCTTTTCTACAGCAAGCCTACAAATCATATAAGGTCTACTGATTTCTTCTGTCACATGCCTTTCCAATTCTATTCTGATTTTCTGTTTCAGTTGCTAAAGAACTAAACCCAAGTTATTTAAAAGCCTAGATTTATGCTTAGTTTTGTAATAAGCCATTCCAAATGAAATAAAAAAAAAAAAAAATCCTGATCTTGTTTGTGATGCATCCTTCCAATTTTTGTCCATGGAAAACTAAGAACCTCGTGACTGTACAGCTGCCATAGAAAAAAATAATGTCATTCCCTAGCCTGCATCAACCTTGACAGTAATTTGACTTTACATTGTGACTAAGTGCACTGATTACTAAAACATTACATTTTTCACAGTGGAGTGGGATTCTTTGCTTCTCTCTGATTTCAACCTGAACCAATCCAAAATGCCACAAAACTGTCATATATACTACTATGAAGAGTTGTGTTTCAATGCATTCGCATTTTCTAGGAAAATCCTTTTCCTTCAGACTTTATTCATGATAATATCTATTCCCTTCAAAATCAGTTGTTCTTTGAGGAAGTAGGAATGACCAGGACATAAGGATCATTTTGAAACATTGCTATTTCAGAACGTGCAAAAATAAGTGTGAAACCCCATCTCCATTTTTTTCAATGTCTTTTCTCTTATTAAAGCTTATAGTGTATTTTAAAACCTCCAGAAATTTGGGTTTGTGTGGAAGAAAATCATATATAGTATTTTTAAAATCAGCAGCTCTTTTAGCATTCCAGTGCACAGAGCCATATTTACTGTATTTGAGCTCGCTTAGTATAACTGCAGTGCCTGTTGTTAAAATTTACTTAAGTAGCAGAAACTTCAGTTAATTTCGAGAGAGTATCACCATGCATAACTTCATAATGTTGCTAGAAATGGTAACTATTTTTCTCGAGGAATGAACAAAGATATTGCACATTGTTTCTCCAAGAAAAATCTTATACTCTTACCCCACCCTCCAAAAAAACCCCCACCCTTTGAGAAAACATCCTTTTGCTCTTTTTCTCTCTCAGAATAGGTATATCTCTGTGAAGTTTCTCTTTGTAGTACATGTATATGCATTTGTGTGAGAGAGAAGTGGGATTTCTGCCTCTGACACAGGAGTACACCATGTAGTACAAGAGACTCTCAAACACGTACTTTCAGCACACAATTACTTTTTTCATCTTTGTATAACTGCGCAAGCATAGCAAACAGTAATTGCTAATGGTAGTACAGATGATGAATACAAAACTGTGTAGCACTAATAGGAACCAGAATAAAACTACCAAAAAAAATTACCTCTTTCAACATCTTCCATCAGTTTCGTGATACTAATTTAACTGAATTGAAGCTGTGGACTAGTCCTTCCAGCATCATTAAGTACGTTCTGTTCTTGCCAGTCCTCCATCAGAGACCCTGCTGGGGTGCGGCGTGTGATAGAGGACACGCTCCTGCCGGTGTGGATCAGCTTCTCAAGACGCCTGTGACAATCTCAGCGTACTTAAAAAGCACAAGGTGTTTCTCATGCATCTGTACACACAGTCTGTTTTCCAGGGAAATGACAAACTATAGTCAAATGAAACGTGATTAGATTTTAACAAGGAAAAGATTTTATTGGAAGCAAAGGATGTTTTGTGCTTCATTGGCCTCCTGTCCTTCGGTATCTTCTACCCCTGCCCCGAAAAAGAAACTTCATTGGGAGAATCAGATGTCAAATGGCCTGGATGCCTGCCATCAACCCCATAAATTCCGAGACATCATCTAACAATGTGTAAACCAGATCTGACGATTCATGATTTAACTACCTCTATAAAAGTGGTAGTTAAATAACTAAAATGCATATTCTTCCTTTCTTCCAGTTGGCTTCTTGTCCATTTTGTTCTTTGGCCTACACAGAATTTCCTACAAGGAAATGTACCACCTGATAGCCAACTGTTAAGAATTATTGTTACTATACAGAGAACTTTTTCAATTTTGCACATAATCCTTTCTGAAGTTGTACAATAACTCTGTCCATGGAATTAAGTTGAAGTTTCTTGTAGTGGAATGAATAAAAAGAAAACCTTAAACAATCACATTCATTTTTCCATGTGTTCTGTTCTAACAAAAAATATGACATTTTCTCTAGCCATGTTTTAGCAGAGGGATCTCATTCTGCCTTTTTCATTTAGGCATTCAATATGGGATTTACAAAACTGGAAATGAAGACACTGAAGAAGGCTCTAGAAACTCCTTCACTGTGATGTAGTTGTACAAGCTGACATGTTTTAGGAATGAATACTATGTTTTCAAATTGTTCTATGACAGCAAAAGCAAATTAAATTCACAGTCTTTCAATGTACTGCCAGTAATCATAAGCTAGTAAAACACCATTACATGATGCCATTTTTCAGCTGAATTAATTAATTAATATGCCCAAGTTGACATATGTGATATTTACAGCCTTATTGGCTTGTGGAGTTGTAGGGTCCCACAGTCTAAAAGCAGGCAAACTCTTTACTGGGAAAAAACTCAATATTGGATCAACCCTAACCTTGCAAATATTCCTCTATTTAATTCACTTGCAGTGCTTTCTTACCAGTACCACACTAGTCCTCATCCTGCAGGAATAACAAATTAATTGGCTAACAAGGAACAGCTTTCTCCTGGACATGGAAATACATTCAGCTGCCAAATAAAATACAACTTTCATCCTCTTCTTCTTGATGAACTGTTTAAGAAGCTCCTTCAAGTACTTTTCTCCTTCTTTTGGTGAAGACACAAATTTTTATTTTATCATTTCAAACCCCATAACTTTATGATGGTATTCCAGAAGAGTATCTAAGTTTATAATTCCATACCAGTGTGTATGTCCTGTATCACCACATATTACAGGGATTCAGATTTCCTGAAGGGTTGGAGGTGAATTGTGCTCCAAGCTCTACTGCTGCAACTCCGTTGACCTCACTGTTGTACTGAGAAAATTTTTCCAGTAAAAATTGCATAAGTACAGGTTGATGGTATTAAAATGAATAGTCTTTAAAAAGGTTCCAATGTGAAGGAAAAGCGAGCCAGACAAGCAAGGCAAGATTTTTAAATGCTTTCATTCACAAGTTGTCCAGGGAAAGTTACACCTAGTGTGAATATGTATTTACTGTCTTACAAACAATTACATACCCACTGTATGTAATTACACTTGCATGTATCTTAACCTGCTTCTGGGAACAAATTGATTTCCTAAATGCTTCTGCATCATCTCAATCACTTCACTGGTATATTGCTACAATGAGAATATATCTGCCAAAATATTCAGCCTTCAAACTAAGAACTAATTTTTTGGATATTTTCTTCACTAGCTGTCTAAATTAGCTGTGGTCTGATCCTCAATATCCAAAGTTACTGGGTATTTTGCTTTGGTAATTTTTGTGCATGATTCCGTTCTTCAGTGTTTCATGTTTAGTAGCCAATCTTGGCAGCTATTTAATGTTATTCAGGTTAGTCTTGGACCATTCACTAGGAAGCTCTGGGGACTGTGTTCTCTGTGGAGATGTGTAACCATCCTGGGGAGCAGGATCCCAAGTTAGGCTTGGGATCTTCAGGTGCTCAAGGTGGATTGCTAGACACACACAGTGGTCATAAGTTTCCTGATGCTTCAGTGTTGGTTATCTGTAACAGGCGTTTTTCTTATTTGCCCTTTCTAGGAATTTGTTATGATTGTTGTCTTTGGTTTGGAATTTATTATTCGTATCTGGTCTGCTGGATGCTGTTGTCGATACCGAGGATGGCAAGGAAGACTGCGCTTTGCAAGGAAACCATTCTGTGTAATAGGTGAGTGTCCCAGCTCTAGTTTATTTTAAGATAAAAATAAACACCCTTCCTTCTGTTTTGCTTCTGAATGAAAACTACTGGACTCTGTTTACAGTAACCAGGTGTAAATCCAGAATAGCTGTGTGTCAACTGTCATCTGCCAAAGGCTTCTCTAGATATAAAATCACAAAGTCCCTAAATACCAGTCAGTCCATGGTTCTTGTGTTCTCCAAAAGACATTTTCCTCTGCGTGTCATACAGCTGGCATGTATATTGGAAGAATGAGGGGTTGAGAGCTGATCTCATTGAAAACCATGGGAGCTGTATGCATTTAAGGGACATATTATACATCTTGTGTATACATGCATAGATACTATGCACATATGTGCATACATTGTGTTCTCCTTATTTAACCTCTGTGATCAGACATGCGTAAAACCTACCGAGAAGCATCTTCTGGCAACATTGCTGCTTCCTGCGTTGTTGCTCACTGCATGACAGTCCAGGCATCTGCTCTGCCAGTGACTCTGGCATAGGATATAGCACACTTCTACAACTATTTCAAGAGACTATTCTTCCCCTTCTTTGCTCTAGAAATTGTCTGTGAGAATGGTGAATAGGACCACAACCAGTTAAAACCCTATTTTGAAAAAAACCCTGCAGGAAAACAGTTTCCCAATAAAGGTAGAAGTCAAGGATGGCTAAGCAAATTCATCTGATAATTTCTTATTTTTCTAATGGTTTGGAGCAAATGCTTTTTACAGAACATTTGTGGAACTTCAGGATACCAATGTCCCAACTTCTCTCTCAACTTCCTTCCTCTCTCCAGCCTTTCTAATTTCATCTGCCTGTACCTTAAATTAACTTATAGATCGACTGGGGCAGGAAACACATTCTCCCATGTTTCATTACAGCAGGTAGCACATGGAGTCATGTTCTTATAGCCGTTACACACATGGGTCTCAGTGTAAACAGTGAATAACAAATTGTCACGTAGATGAGTGCCATCCCGGTCTAAAAAAGTGTTATGCAGTGTCCTGTGGCGTAGCAGACCAGTGCACTGGTTAGGGCTAATGTGTAAAGCAAGCTTTTGCCTTCTGCCTCATTCCCTGGTCAATCCTCACCTTCTCCCACTGAGGAATTCCCTCAACGGAGAAAGGGTCGTTAGCAAGAGGTGCATGAGTAGGTGGAAAGTGATTGCAGACTGTCTCCCCCTCGGAAAGAATCACCCCATCTATGCTATTTTATGACACTGTGGGAGAGGGACAAGTATTGGGGTTGTCCCTTGTTTTGTCCTGACAGCAGGGGAGGTGGGTAAGTACCTTACCCAACCCCGCCTGGCACCACGTCACACATTTGCCCCGAGGTTCCCATGCCTAGCCGAAAATGGAAAGAAAATTCAAAAATCTTCCCAGCCTTTACCAGCTACCTGTCAAGGGAAAGCTAGAAATTCAGACATTTGCTCTCCCTGGCACCAACAACCATAGGCTACCCTCCTTAACCAGACTTACCATTATTCCAAGATTTTGTGGTGCACCTGAAACCCCACAGTAGTCAGCACACAATCCTAAGAAAGCACCAGACTGTTAATTTAGTAAAATTAGCCTACTTCAGCCATTTAGAACTTACTAGAAACATCTAAATCTTTAAAGAATTTGAACTTACTAGAAGCACTCGACATCTCAGAGTGGTTTGCTGCCCTCCCAAATGCCGTCATGTGGCAACACCAGCAGTTTGTTCTATTCAGTTTTCGTTTCTCCTCCCTTTCCTGTCTCCATTCAATTGGCGAGGTTTCTGCCCGTGACGAACTTCAGTCTGAGCTGTTAATTCCCAGCAAAAGTGAACAGAGGGGTTCTCCCTTGTTCAAAACTCTGCGTGTTATCACAGGGTGACCGATGTGGATTTTCCCCCTTTCCTTTAACCAGCTCATAGCTACCCTCCTCCTGTTCTGAAATAGTTCGGGCAGGTCTCGTGGCACGAGCCTCGGTGAGCGTTGGGGTTTGCTTCACTTAATTGTGGTTTTTCTTCCTTTCTCTGGAGTCCATCTGCTCTTCTTGTTGCACCTATGTTCGTATAGGCAATCTCTAGCCTCAGAAGCATCTTCTCCATCCCCCTTGCAACTTCATCACTTGCTAGCAGAATTAATTAGTAGCCAACAGTCTTTTGCTTGTGGATGTCTTCCTGTGCTGGTTCACTGGATGAAAAGGGAACTTTGTTCTGCAAAACACGGTACAGCTACTAACACAGCTTCTGGAAACTAAGCCAGTAGCTTGACTTTCTTGCCATTAATTATTCTGTGTGTCTCTTCTTCTGCTGATTGATTTTTGTCCATTTCTGGACTTTAGCATCCCTGAAGGGAGTTTCTGATGCTCAGCATCTCTCCAGATCTGATCTTTTGAGGAGGAACCTTTAGCAAGTCATCTTGCATCTCTTGCTACATAAAGTAACTATTTGCCTGACACTTTGGCTTTGCAGTCACGGCCAAGTGTGCCCCGGCAGCAAAGGCCAAGAGGCTTTATTAGCTAGAGGACCATCAGCAGATGAAAACACATGATTATCTCCCTTTACTCGGCACTCATCAGACCACATCTAAGATACCGCAGCCCATCTGCCCCCTCCAACACCATACATGAAAGACATCGATAAACTGGAGTGAGTTCAGTGAAGGCCACCAAGGTGATCAGTGCTGGAGCGTTTGCCCTGCGAGGAGAGGAGTTTGTTTAATTATTTACCTAGTCATCCTTTATTCTTTCTGCTTATTGTTGCAGTGGAACAATAATATTTTAGAAGACTTAGTCTGTTTACTATTAATTAAATTTGCTCTACATTTCCAGCAGATCTGTTCTCTGATTATTTTTGTGATCAAACAAAAATCACATAGAGGAGTGGGCTAAGAGCTAGAAATAATAAATTTGAGGATTGCCTCAAGGGTCACATTCAGACAGCCTTTATTTTTTTTTCCAGTAATAACCTAATTAGCAGAAAAATTTTATTCAGGGCCAAAGCTCTGTGCTTACATTAGTGTGCCTACACTACCCTGACAAATTAGTTCATCAAGCATCGCTGTGTGCTACCAAGTTAGTAATGATATCTATCAAATTATTTGACAGTTTTGTACACTTGCTTATTTCTGTAAAACTGGGAATAATAGTGTAGTATTAAACCTTGATTTGTATTTTGTTCCATGTCAGGAGTTACCTGCCATCCCTCATTTTCTCTGATTGTATACGAGCTTCTGTACATAATGTAAAGGGCATACCAACCCTCACAGGTACTTAATGCACTTAAAGACGTACTTACCTCTGCAAAGCCTAAATTTGCTGGGCATATCAGTCTGAAGGATGGCTGTTAGCACTGCAGAGTGATGTTGCTGTGCTATACTGTGCAGAAGAGCAGCGATCCAGGCACCGCATCTCCCAACTGCTGATGCCCGGGAAGAATTCTGTGTCTGCCGGTGCCTTAGGAGAAGCGGTGTTCCCTCAAGAGCCCCAAAATAAAAGAGAATGTGTCTGCTAATTGGGAAGAAAGTATGGCATCCCCTCCCTGTCTAGCCATTCAGGGACACTGAAATAAATAAATGAAGAGTCCACTGTCCTCTCTCTGGCAATGGGCCTCCTAGATGGTTGCATGTGACCCCACAAAATTAAACTTCTGGCCGCTGTCCTGTGCGTAGGAGAGGTTTTACCAGCACGGTGAAATCTCAGTCTGTGAGGGCGGCTCCCGCGGGGTGGCACATTATAAAAATAATAAGGCATAATAAATAACAAGCTGCGGGTCAGAAGAGTAAGATCCTGCCAGTCTCACCTGCATGTCTGAAGTCTGCTAGGCTTTCGGAGGAACTTCTTTCTCTCCGCTGACTCTGTAGGAGACTTTGGGACTCCGACGTGCAGAAGCCCAGCAAGGGCAAGTGAAGAGAACATGAGCACGCCTCCCTTCCAGTGCTGGAAGCAGTGAATTTTAGAATCGCCTAAACTTTATGTGATTTCTAGATTTAAATTTGGGCATTGAGACTCCTATTTCAGAATTTTTTCACCTTAAATTTGAGCGCACTTCTAGTAATATAGCATTCCTCCAGGGCAACTAGAATTCCTGGTGGTCCAGCCCAGTGAAAGATGTCATGAATTTCAGTTAGTCCATTAGCAGTTTCCCTACAGCTGCTTCTATTTTACCTCTAGTCAAGCTACAGCATGATGGAAAGTCACAAGTTCAAATTCTGTTGAGGCTGCAGAATGAACAAATTCCCAACAGGAAGCTTAAGTCCATTATCTGTAATCAGGCTCTTGGACTTCATGGCTGGCAAACCTCGTTTCAGAGCATTAAGTGATAGCAGCGGCTGTTGCATATTACTGGATCTATTTTTCATTAATTAGAGTGGTAATGAACCATCATATGGCACTTTTATCAAACCTTTGTAAACAAATCCATATCTAGTGTGTTACAAGATCTGCTGAACCTTTAATTTGAATTAATTCAATATTTTATTTAATGATATGTTTTGTGTCTGTCACCTCAGTATTTAGACACTTTATATAGTTTAAATACAGACAGATAGTAAATCTGCTGCTCATGATAAACAATATAAACAGCCCCTTTCCAGTATAATTTGAACTCTAAATAACCCAGCGATGGTCTGTAATTAAGTATATCCTTGACCAAGGAGACGCATCTCACATCACATCTCATTACAAATCCCAGCAAAATCAAGTTCTAGCAGAAGCAAATTCCACGTTGGGGGGGGTTCTCCTGCCAGCCTGACTTGAACTCATCTCAGGAACACGCTGCCCACTTCACTCCAGAAAATACTCTGATAGTAGGAGTAGTATTAAGACTGGAAATTGACATTTCCTCGTATAATTTCAGCAGCCATAGTTATGTGCAATGAACAGAAGTGGTGTTTAGGCTAAATCAGTCCCAAATTGTGTAGGTTTTTAAAACTAATATTTAGTTGCATATCTTCATGTTTGACAGTCCTGGCAGAACAGGTTTTAGAAATGCATAGGAAAAATAATGTCTTTTTAATA